CATATTTATTCGTCTCAGCAACAATTAATTCTTGTAGGTTTTGATCAAAAAAATAAGTAAAAAAATTGGTAAGGACTGGATAAATCTAAAATATGTTGAGGGTAGCCTGTGACGCCAAGAGAGTTAAAAGCTTGATCAATCACAGGCATATTTTTCTTTTTCAAACTAAATTTCTTACTGGATTATAATTAGTGGACCTTGATTCATTTTCAGGCAAATCGCCAATTACCAATAGGGGATCACAGTCTAGATTACCATTTGAGTCCATTTGCTTTTCTTCTACTTCCTGTTCTACATCTTCATGGTCTTCGATCAACTCATTCACACCGTCATAGTAATCAATAACATCTTCATCGATATCTGCTTCATCCTCAGAGATGTCGTCATTTTCAAGTTGTCATAACAGTGTTTCAATATCCATGTTTATAATACAATATCCATAGTCATCCACGTTTTTTGTCGTATCAATAGCGATCTAAAACCATAATAAAACCATGCAACCCAACACCATCATCATCATCATCATTACAGCCCTTCACAAGTCCACTGCTGAACATAGGCCTCCCCCAAGGAATGCCACAAAGCACGGTCCTGAGCCACCTGCATCCATCGACTTCCTGCATATCTTACCAGGTCGTCACTCCATCTAGTGGGGGGACGCCCTACACTTCGCCTGCCGGTACGAGGCTGCCACTCGAGAACCTTTCTTCCCCATCGGTTGTCGGTTCTTCGAGCTATATGGCCGGATCATTTCCACTTCAGCTTACTAATCCGTTGGGCTATGTCGGTCACTCTAGTTCTACTGCGGATATCCTCATTTCTGAGTTTATCACGCAGAGAAACTCCGAGCATAGCCCTCTCCATAGCTCGCTGAGCGACCTTGAGCTTCCTCATCCGGCCAGTAGTGAAGGGCCACGTCTCAGTTCCGTATGTCATCACTGGCAACACGCACTGGGTGTACAGTCTCGTTTTCAAGTTTTGAGGTATACCTGACGAGAAGATGTGCCGTAATTTCCCGAACGCTGCCCAACCGAGTTGAATCCGTCGATTGACCTCTCGGTCGAAGTTGGACTTACCTAATCGGACTATTTGTCCCAGGTAAACATACTCGTCAACAACTTCGAGCTTAGTGTTCCCAACAACTACCGGCATAGGTGTGACATGGACATTAAACATGATCTTTGTTTTGTCCATGTTCATATTAAGACCCATCCGTTGGGAAACACTATTGAGGTCATTGAGCATAGTGCTTAGGTCCTCCAGCGACCCCGCCATAAGGACTATATCGTCGACAAATCGAAGGTGAGTGATGTACTCGCCATTGATGTTGATACCGTATCCTTTCCAGTCCAGAAGCTTGAAAACATCTTCCAATGCAGCGGTAAAGAGTTTCGGAGATATGACGTCACCCTGTCTTACACCTCTCTGCAATTGGATAGGTTTCGTACTCTGGTTCTGTACTCGGATAGCCATCGTAGCCCTACTGTACAAGCACTTCAACACTTCGATATACCGATAGTCAACTTGACATCGCTGAAGGGACTGCAGAACCGCCCAAATTTCGACGGAATCAAAGGCTTTCTCATAGTCCACATACGCCAGACATAGTGGCAAATTGTACTCCTCGGACTTCTGTACAATTTGCCGAAGGGTATGTATGTGGTCTATGGTGCTAAAGCCTTTTCGGAAACCGGCTTGTTCGGGAGGCTGGAAGTCGTCAAGTCTGCGCGCGAGACGATTCGTAATGACTCTCGAAAACAGCACGTAGACGCGGCTCAGAAGGGAAATCGGTCTGTAATTCTTCAAGAGAGCATTGTCGCCTTTCTTGAAGAACAAGACCACCGCACTTCTGCTCCACGCCTCCGGTGTAATGCCACCATGGAGGACGGAATTAAAGAGCTTCTGAAGGACTTCAAGTACCGGTTTTCCACCCGCTTTCAGAAGCTCCGCTGTAATTCCATCCTCGCCTGGGGCCTTGCCGTTTTTAAGGTGCTGGAGAGCCATACTAATCTCGCTCAGACTGACGTCCGGGATATCATTGGAATAATGTCGGATAAGACTCGCTCTTGGATCGTTACTTACACTTGCGTGCGGCTCCAACGATGACGTGTACAGCTGCCCATAGAACCTCTCAATCTCACTCAAAATCTCAGGTGCCCCGGAAACGATGCTGCCACATTCTGTCTTCAGCTTTGACAGTTGCGCTTTCTGGCAGACAGATCTCTGGCAAAGACTTTGGAGCCTTGGTTCCGCTCGATCGCTTCTTCAATACGAGCTGTATTGAAGTTGCGTAAGTCCCGCTGCATGCATTTGGAGATCTGTCTGTTCAGTTGCCTGTATGCTGTCAAATCTGTTGAAGAATGTAGCTTCATCTCCCGTCTAACAGCCATGAGATTAAGAGTGTGATCGGAGAGTTTTTGTGTTCTTCTGCAGCGGGTCTTGCAGAACTTAGCTCCGACCGCATGGAGAGTTTCCACGAGCTTGTCATTCAAATCGTCCACTTCATTGCAGTCTTCTAGGCACTGAAAACGGTTTTATAACTCGAGCTGAAAGGTTTCGGGACTTTGGATTAGAGCACGAGGGGGACGGAGCGTTGACTTCATTAGACGAGACCTCTCCAACTTAACGTTTAGGTTCAGTGTGCCTCTAACCATTCGGTGATCGCTGCCGGTTTTCACCCTCGCAATCACTGAGACATCACTGAACAGTTGTCGTCTGGTCGTCATAATGAAGTCAATCTCATTTTTTGTCGAACCGTCGGGGCTCGACCAGGTCCACTTCCTGTGGGGCCGCTTCTGGAAGAAAGAGTTCATCATAAGGAGTCCCTCTTTCTCCATGAAGTCAGCCAACTGCTGGCCCCTTGGGTTCCGTTGCCCTATTCCAAATTTCCCTACTTTCAGCTCACCGTTCTCTCTTGTGCCTAGTTTTGCATTGAAGTCTCCCATTAACACCGTATATTGGGTTTTGGAGGAATGCATGGCTCTAGAGATATCCTCATACATTTCCTCCACCTCCTGATCGGGGTGTGCTGAGGTTGGTGCGTAAACCTGTATGACCTTCAGCGAATACCGTTTGGTGATTCTGAGTATAAGGTACGAAACCCTCGTCGACACACTCAATCTTTACAACGTTGTTAACGAGAGACTTGTGGACGATAAATCCGACACCTCCTTGGGACAGATGGTCGCCCTCCCGGTAATAGAGCAAGTTGCCGGATTCGAGGATTACCGTGTCCTCCCCCTCTCTTCGGACTTCGGATAATCCTATAATATGCCAGCGTAACTTGTCTATCTCTTCTTCCAGCTCCACAATCTTCTCGTCAGTCCTCAGGGTGCGTGCGTTGTATGTTGCCAGGTCGAGTCGTCGTAGGTGGCAACCGAACCTCCACCGGAGATTCTTAGCACCCCCTGCCCCGCCGTTACCATGGTCGCCACCGTAGCCAGGAATAGCGGGGCCGCCGGGGACTGGGGGCCGTTTATTATTGTCATTGCTTATGGGGGGTATATTGCCATAGTTGCCACGCTTGGCGAGCGGGTTGGCAACCGCAGTTTTTTTATTGTTATTTTGGCTATTATCAGGAAGATGCTGCTGCCCATCTCCTGCCTGTTTCCCTTTGTCGCCTTTTACGACACCCACGGGAAGATATGGGGTAGTGGATATTCTTAACCGCCACTACACGGCACCAACCAACCCAACACCAAAACATATATAACTTGCTTGAAAAACATAGCATTGAAAAAATATTCATAAACATCCATAATAAGAAAAAATGATACCGGTAATGCATAGATTATCATTTTTGATAACAACATTCCAAAGCAAAATTAGTACCATGCCACAAATATTTTTTGTAAAATAAACACATCATAATAAAATATAAATCCTTACCTTTCAGAAAGTATGTTTTTTTTTTGGAGAAAAATAACACTTATTTTATATTTGATATGAAATGCTAAAATATTCAAATTCGTAGCCATTCAATTACTACGACCTTTCAGTTTGTAATGTCAAATTCAACCAATCACAGAGGATTACTAAATCTATGATCACAGCCCAGATAGTTTTTTTGGAGTTTATAGCCTGGTATCTATGACTTTTAGGCCAAGTCTTGAGTATTTTTATTCGGTTTATTATAATTTCTTCATAGTTTACTGCTTCACAATATGTTGATGCATCACATTGTGCAGCCCTTGGGAGATTTTGACGGCAATTTGAACCAGCAGACAGCTGACAGTTGGCGGTGGTATCTAAAGGCGCCTATGCAGACAAACAGCTTATCTTGAGAATCCATCACCATCAGAGCACTTGTTTCACAGTTTCCACTAATAGTTCACATACGTAGACAGTTAATACATAAAATCGCACCACTTTTACATATCAAAATCCAATTCAAACTATTATTTAAACTATAATACAGGAGCAGCAAACCGCCGCCGGTCAAGTTCCCGCCAAAACACCCAGCCCAGATAGTTTTGTCATGTCCACAGATTGTATGAATGACGCGTACACAAACGTTCAAAAACGTTATGTTATTTAAATATCTTTTGTACGGAAGTTATACACATGAAAAAGTCTGTTATCATTTTTGATAAACTATGCACTTAAGGGTTAACTAATAAGTGTCTATTTTACCGTAAAAAATTGTTTTACTAATTGTAAATGTATTAACATATTATTGTGAATCAGTGTACTATGAAAGATATTATACATTATAACTTCAGGCTCAGAAGGACTAGAACCCCGTGCCGTAAAGCCAGTTATTTAAAAAAATCATTGTTATTTCCACAGAGTACAAATGTCATTTAAATGTCATTTCAATCACAAAATTACAATTGACGTTTCCCGGTGATTTTTTTCTAATTGCTTGTTACAGGTTATATTTAGAAAACGTGGTATTTGCTTATTGTAATTGTAATTGGTCTTATTCTATAGTAGTATAAATACATTTTATTACTAACCTCAATCCATTAAATCAACAAGACAGTCGATTAATAAAGAAAATGAACCTTGATCTGAAATACGGTGAACTGTCAAAAGACGAAGACTTCGTAAATAAATGTGAAAATCTGAAAATGAATTTAATTGAAGTACAGAAGGTTTTGGATCAACTATTACCATTAAAAGCCCAATATGATAAAATGTCCCTTCCAGCACAAATAGAACTTGATTTATTTCTTGCTTTTGCACTAAATTCACTTCATTGGATAAATTTACGCATACAAGGCGTGGATCCTACCAAACATCCGATTAAAGAAGAACTTCAGAGAATAAAAGCGACAATGTTAAAATGGCAGGAAGTGAAAGACCGTGATAAAAGACCTATAGTCGATATTGAAGCAGCTAAAAGATTTGTCAGGAGTGGTTTATACGATCCTTACAGGGAAACTGCAAAACCACCAAATAAGAAAATTATATTCAAAGATGACGATTAAAGATTGAAGTGATAGTTTATTTTTAAAAGACTGAGTTATAATTGGAGAAATTTCTCAATATGCCTTTTGTTATCCATAAAATATTTGGAATTTATAGTGTAAGGTTTTACATGTGTATTGTTATTTATTTAATAAAGTTAAGGTAGGTACCATTGATGATATAATCATATAAGTTAGATAGTTAAAATGTAAAAGTAGTTTTATAATTTAATTTTCAAGTACATTTACTACTATGAAGTATCTCCATTTTGCCATAATATATTGAAGCTGAAAATTGCATGCTTCAAGTATTAAATATTGTGTTAGAGTTAATTTATTAATATTCTTTTCCAGTGTTACTTGTGCAAATTATGAGTCAATATGTTGTTGATACTGGAAAATTAGTGATAGATGTATTATTATTATTTATATACTTTATTTTTAAACAACAGCACTAATGAGTGGTCATTTAAGATTGTTATGTTAGCTATTTATATAACCATGTAAATATTTAAAAATAAAGCACCTTTCTACATACATAAATTATTTTTATTTAACACAACATTGTAAGGAATATTTAATGGAATGATTTTTGTGTGAAATAATAATCTGAAATAAAATATTATAATATTAAATTATTAACAATACTTTTAGTAAATAATAATAAATTAAGTCAATGCATTGTTTATCATCTGACACGTCATATTATTTATGGATATAGACTCCTGGGATGCATCAGATACAGTACAGTGCATCTGATACATATATAGATTATAATAATATTTTGGACTTGTTGTTATATCTGCATAAGTAATATTTATCTGCCAATACACTGATATCTTTCAAATTTGATGCCGCAAGCAAGTAAAATATAAATGCACCTTCATATTATTATTTAGATTTTTTTTTGTTCATATATATTATTTTGAAAGAACAATATAGCTTTAAGTTGAATAATATATCCTTAAATTGATATTGGTATAAGTATCTGTCCATATCAGCAGAAGCAATATCGATGTATTCCCACTCCAAGTTAACATAATTTTAAAACTAACAAATTATTTATTGCTTAGATATGGAATGGATTACAGTAAGTAAATTGTAAATCACATTATTCAGACCACCATTTATATATTGAATATTATTAATAAATAACCTATTTCTAAATCTAAATAAGGAAACATTTCCTATGTTTCAGTTCCAGGCAAGTCCTCAATTATTCTAGCTTACGTATTTCGTACATAATAAAGAATATAGTGAAGTAGGAAAAAATATTATTGTTCATTTATAAATATGCAGTTATTTGTCCTATTTTTAAACATAAATATAAATTAACATTCTTTAAGTATTATCTGACTTAGAATCATATTTCCACCTGCAAAACCAGCCCCGCAGCTGATATATTATCCCCAGCTCCAGCTGTCAACTGAGCTTCTGTACAAATTAAGACTGGTGCGACACATATCTCAACTTTATCGCTTTCTATTGTTTCCTCCCAACATGCCACTGGTTTATTTGCTTCAAAAAACACTCTGCTGCTATTATCATTGTCTGTGGTTGTTGAGAAACTATCATCAAGCAGTAGTTTTGTCTTCTCAAGATTGATGTTCTGTGTATTGCAAACATATCTGTGAGCAGTTAATGATGCTTTAGCTGCAGCTGCAGGCGTTCTTTTCCATTTCAAATTTTGTACAGTTAAAATTGCTTGGTATGCTAAAGTGTGCACATGCATACGGGTAAGTTTCCTTTTACTACCAAACTTTTTGTTCTTTTGCCTTATAAGTCTAAATGTGTTCCGCATTTGATCAAGTGCTGTAGCTATCCTTGGGTTGGAGTCTGCTACAACTACTACTCTTCCACGCTCTAAAACACTGTTAAGATTGGAGAGCTCTTGTTCATTCATGCCTACTGAGTCAACATATGGCAGTACTTTGGTTGTCAAGTGTTTTAGAAGCTCCAGATCCACATAACTTGCCATCTCAAAGTGGGCTAATGTGCTTAAGGGCTGAGATAAAATTTGTTGTTTGACCAAGTCTAGCCTCTCTGCTCTTAAATCTGCAAAATAAAATGTACTGAATAATGAAACAGCTCTCAATTTCAGGATGTAATGGCAATCTTCACATGTTCTAGTAATTTTCCTAAATATGCAACATTTTTATTAACATTTGAGTTAATATGTTCACATTAGCTTAGCATAAGCAAAAACTTTTCAGTAATAGCAAAATAAATGTGATCACTAGTAAAATCTGAAACTATTTATTTGATATAGGTACTTAACAATACTGTCAAAACATGCAAGGTGTTTTTTTTAAAACACAATCTTATTAAAACAGTTATGTTAAATAATTATAGATAATTGGATAATAAGGCAAGTGAGCTACCTTAATGTATGAAAAAGATAATTAAATTCTAGGTATCTTTGTAGAAGAGTGCAGGTAAGGATAGGAATCATTATTTTATATTTGAAGATTGATTCATCCATCTATTGGATGCTTACATGTCATTTGCTAGAAAGAACTAAAGAATCATATATTGTGACTAAAAAAAAGTTGTCTCACCTTTACCATCCCTTTTAAATGGAAAGTTGTCCATCATTTGTAGACCACTTATGACTAGTAAATTCGGTTTAAAACTTGGCAAATATTCACCCAGTTTCTCTAAGGAACTCAATAAGGGATTATTCTCGTCATTATGCATAATATATCTATTGGCTCTTGGTGCTTTGTATTCACCAAACCTTTCATCTGCTTTGTACTCTAGTATCATATGAATATCATCTCTCACTTCTTCATTTTCATTGTCACCCACTACTAATATTTCCTCCGGAATGTAACTTTTCAGTTTTTTACTCATTTTAGCCCCAAACAGCACTTTCCATCCTTCTAGATAAAACCTTTTAGCCATTAGAGGTGCATTTCCCCCAATAGCCCATCTTGTATCTGGTAGTTTGAGTGCTTGTTCCACTAGATCGTCATATAGTTTACTATTAGACATAAATCTCCTGTGAAGGAAAAGTGTAGTTAATTAAGTTGATAAGTATCTTATCATATATTATATACAGCAATCCATTATTATTTAATATATTATATATAAGAATTCACAACCTATGCAATCCCATAGATGTTGTAAGAGCCGATAGAGGGAAATAAAACAGGAGATGGGCATCAGCATTGTTCTGATAACTTAATAATATTAAGAAACTGTAGTTGTCCTGCTTTAGCTTCCCAAGAATGGCCATTATGGCAAATTTAATCTTTATGAGGCAATCTATTGTGGAGGCCTAAGTCCAGCCGTGGACTTTTGATAGGGTATTTATAGAATGAATGAAAATACAATATTTTGTTTGATATTAGACTTTTAATTTTATTATTAAATATTAGATTAAAATAGCATGTAGAGCAACTGACTCTTCACTATAAGAAATGGCTATATTAAAAGGTTTGACTTACTCAGCAGCTGCACCATGTTTAAAAAAGTATGCAAAACTTTTAACAAACTCTTCTTTATTAGAGATCTCATTGAAGTGCTCCGGACTGCCTTTGAGATCTTGATAATCTAGGAGTAATGTTGCGTTTACAAATAAGTCGTGGCATGCTCCATAACCTAACGCTACTTTAGGCTGCGAAACTCCAACACCGACTTTATTTTTACTTTCCAAAAACAACAAATGTTCTTTCAAAGACACTAATCTTTCATCACCTATGTCGTTTTTACGAAAATAAATAGCATAAAGGACAATACAAAATGAGACTATAGAACCCAATTTCATCGGTGCACCCGCCATTTTTAGCATACAACTAAATATTTATGACTATAATATATGGAATGATTAAACTTTAATCTTTTATATGAATCCACGTCACCTCATTTTTTATAGTATTGTAAATATTTTATGTGAATTACAATCAAACCTGACACCGAAACACAATCGGTCATTGCCTGTCATTTGTAGATGCCATTGCCACTTGTTTGGCTTGTCACCTTGTCAGTTGTGTTTTTTTTAATAACTGGCTGTACGGCTCTGGGATCTAGCGCTTCTGAGCCTGAAGTTACAATATATTATAATTATCCTTCATAGTATACTGCTTCACAATATGTTGATGCGTCACATTGTGCAGCCCGTGGGAGGTTTTGACGGCAACTTGAGCCAGTACACAGCTGACGGTTGGCGATGGTATCTCAATGCGCCTACGCAGACAGACACCTTATTTTGAGAATACAGTTTAATATTTGTTTTACAGTTTCCACTAATAGTTCATATGCGCTGACACTTAATACACAAAATCGCACCACTTTTACATATCAAAGTCCACTTCAAACCATTATTTAAACAATAATATACGAGCAGGAAACCGCCGCCGGTTAAGTTCCCGCCAAAACTCTGTCAGTTGTGATTGTCATTACTAATCATAAATAAATATGTAATGCGTAAGCATCATACTAGTCTGTGATCTATGAATATGTAGCAAGCTAATTGTCATTATCATGTCACTCGTCAAATCAAACCTTAGAGTGAAGACATGAGTGGATGAAGGGGTTATGTATTTTTTAGAACCTTAAGACCTTAAAACAGCGTATTTAAAGCTTGGTTTTAGAAAAAACAAGTGATGAAGGAGATATGTACAAATAAAAAATGGTAATCACAGTGAATGAAAGTTATATGGGCAGTTAGCGTATTCTTTAATTAAAACATATTTTAATCCATGGTTGCCTGGAGCGGATGAAGGAGGTAAATGCGTGCGAACGCAGTGATCGTCGCACTGCGTTGTTATGCATGCACGTGTTATGTCTTGCACTTATCTATTCATTCATTTGTTCATTATATGTTTTTTTTTTAAAGATTTACGTCCGAAGTTAATAACGTATCTCTTTTTTAATATTAAAGACAATCCGAGATTGTATATGTATATAGATGTACAAAGATCGATCCAAATCTCTATCAATCTATTTTTTTGCGGAGATCGCACTCAATCCAAACATCTATCCGATTCCTCTCGACTGTTTCGTTGTATGCATAACGACTGACGCTTTATTCAAATAGTTGAATTAATATAATAACATAAAATGTAAATATATATTTAGAATGTTTGGCATTAAAAAGTGCACAAAATTTTGCATTTAGCCGTTTGTCTTTTAGATCATCGATATAATATATATGTATGTATGTATTATAATAGATTGGAGGAAAAGATTCTTCGTATTTTATAAAAAAATTCAAGACTTTTTTTCAAAGTTTAATTACATTTAATTATAATACATATTATGAGCCATTTTGTTTGATAACTTGTTGCCATTTTGTAGGTAGTGTCATAATCCCGTTGCTGTAGAAATCTTGGGATTTTTTAACAATTAAAATACGTCAAGTAGTCTTGACAGTCCTCTCTTGGTGTTAACTAGCTTGCTACATAATATATATTTATCTATGGTGTTAACCTAACACTTCTCAAAGAATTCTGAAGAGACCGAAACAGGTAAAAATCTGAGGGTGTAAGGTCAGGGCTATATTATGGTGGATGCATTAACACTTACGAACCAAACTCTCCCAATTTTTGCTGAGTGGCCAAAGATGTGTGTGGTCTGGCGTTATCATGATGAAAGACCTTTTTTGTTGATCAGTGCCGGCCGTTTTTTCTCAATTTCTTACTTGAGTCTCATTTGTTGCCCGATAGTAGAAGCTCATAATAAACGATGCCCTTGCAATCCCACCATACACACAGCATCACCATATTGAGTGTTAAACTGGGATTTGCTACAGTCTGTGGAGCTTGACTGACTTTTGACCATGATCTTTTTCGCAAGTTTTTGTAGGTGATCCACTTTTCATCACCAGTCGATCAATCTTTTAAAAATGGTTCAGTTTCATTACGTTAGAATGGCAAATGAGTACACGATTTATTAGGCTTCTTTCATTTAGCTCGTGTGGTACCCAAATCTCGAGCATTTTTGTACAGCCAAACTTTTTCTTACAAGTCAAAACTGTTTATTGGTCAATCCCCAATTCCTCGGCTATGTCGTAATTACTAATATGAAATGTTGCTCCACTTTTTCAAACATGGCATTGACTTTATTATTATGAGGGTAACCAGAGCGAGCTGCATCTTTGACATCAAAATTTCCGGACTGAAAACGCTTGAACCAACTTTGAAAAGAGTTCAGTTTGAGTATGAATAAAAAAATCGATAATCGCTTCATACGACATAAGTTCGTAAAAGTCAATACCTACGCTGAATTTATTTTTACTTTAGATTAATAAACAGTTAAATTAAATTAAGTGGTGAAGTTAAGCTCGCCCGTGTTACCTCCACCCTCTAAAGCAGGCAATGGGTATGACAGATACAATTAAGGACGGGGAGTGTGATAGGAGATATTAGAGCTTTTTATTTTGACCAAGAAATTATCAAGTGTTGTTGGGTATCAAGCTCCACTTGTGCTGGTGGAATTCTTGACTAAATAAGAACTTCAATATGTAGATTGTGTAGGTAATTTATTGGTTGCTATAAGAGAGGTAGCCGTAATGCGTGCGTTCGCGACTGGGTTGTTCCGAGCAAGAAGATGTTGCAGCGGTGCCGCGTTGTCTCCATGAAGGTGGTGGGGCCGTGAAGCGCTCGCAGAACCGGTTTGAGATCCGCTGCCCGACGACACGAGCCGGGGAGTATCATAGGCAGTGACGTCAGGAACAAGTGTGTATGTACGAGTAATCAAACAAAATTACGACGAGAGCAGATATCAATCGACTGGGATTGACTGGCTGAGATAACCATTCCCTACAGATAGATACAGTTTAAACAACATAATGGTACTGGAATAGAGCTAATAGAATGAACTAGTTCATTGTCCGAAATGAACTAGTACAGAACGATCTTTAAAATGACCGAGCGGACACAAGAGTAATAAATAACAGCCAGTCGAGCAAGCAGGTTTTAGGAAAGGATTCTCAACCACTGACCATATTAATACGATCAAATAGGTACAAGACAAATACAATAAAAATCTTATATAGCTTTAATAGACTATGCCAAGGCCTTCGATAGCTTACAGATGACTATGTAATAGATCAAGTGATTAATTAAGGTATTACTTATAATGCCCGGGCAATATAAATAACGACAAGTCACGTAGGACTATTTAATTAATACTGATTTAGACTTCATTATTTATAACATTGTCTGGTCATTATGAATACCTATTGCTACGGAACTGTTAGGCAATTTGATATATGAGGGCGACACTGAAAGTTTTTTGAACTGGCCACTTGTAAACGATATAATAAAAAAATAAGTTCAAATTTTGACAATGGAACTCTTTGCCAATATTATTGTGTATGTATTTTATTAATTTGTACGGTTTGGCGGCAAACTGAAAATTGTCTGTGCCACATCAGCATGAATTTAACGCGTAAAGTTATTTAAGTCAACAAGAAAGTTATGGTAGACTTCGATTGGCAATTTGACAATGAGGCCCCATCTCGTGCCACTGTTTACAACTGGTTTAATGAGTTTAAACGTGGTCGCACTAATCTCATCGATGATCTACGTGAGGGACGGCCTTCTACGGCGACGACTGAAGATAACATCAGTGTTGAGCGGCGTATGATAGAGACTGAAAAAAGTGTGACTTATCAGCAGATTCAGACAAGCTTAGCCATCGGTATGAGTCAAGTGCACAAAATCCTCAATGAACATTTAGCGGTCAGGAAGCTTTGTGCCCTGTTGTGTTGTGGTGGATACCTCATAATTTGACAGAGTCCGGAAAACTCCATCGTGTTGATTGTTGTCATGAAATGGTTCAAAGATTTAACGGAGGTGTGTTCGACATACTTACGGGTGACGAAAGCTGGGTTTATTGTTATGACCCTGAAACTAAGAGACAGTCTGTTGTCTGGGTGTTTCCTTCCGAGGAGTTGCCAACTAAAGTGAAGAGAGATCGACGCTCGGGAAAAAAGATGATGGCCTCGTTCTTCGGAAGGATAGGTCATTACGTAACAATTGTTTCAAAGGATCGAAAAACAGTTACTGCAGAGTGTTATACTTACTAACAATTGTTTGCCACTTGTCACCCGCCCTATAGCCCCGACCTCGCACTTTGCTATTTTTATTTATTTCTGAAAATAAAAGAAAAACTTGGAGAAAAACGTTTTATGAACGCCGAGGAAGCAGTAGCTGCGTTTCAAAATGCCGTCGAAGAGACCCCTAAGGTCGAGTGGGCAAAGTGCTTTTCTCAGTGGTTCCATCGGATACAGCGATGTATTGATGTAAACACTATTTTGAAAAGATATAATAAAACTAATAACTTGCTAGTTTGTTCAGTTTTTGATTTTCTAAGAACTTTCAGTGTCACCCTCGTAATCTAGCCAAACCTAACCATGTTAATCACTTTTAAGTTTTAAAACAATAAGTTGATAATGTTAAAGTTGTTAAAAATAATAAAAACTCTAAGATAGCACACGGGTAGATATCGTGTTACTACGCAGAGACGGGATCGATTTCTCCAAATGTCCGCCAGAAGACAACGTCACAGTGACACAACTACCACAAAGACTCCAGGAGGACCACCAACTGCTGGTAAGCGACCGAACCGTGCGAAGGAGGTTGTATGAAGTTGATCTTCATGCTCGAAGACTGCTACGCCGCTGACCGCGATGGCCACGTCGCAATGCTGGACATTGCGACGTGGCCATCGCGGTCAGCGGCGTTCGTGGGCTCGGGAGCATTTACCATGTAGTGACAGGCAGTAGTTTGGTGTTGTTCACCGATGAGTGCCAGTTTGGGCTTCATCCGGATTCACGAAGGGAAGTTTCTCCAGGGAGAGTTAGCCATCTACCGGAGATCCACTCATACCAAGGCGGCACAATCATGGTATGGGCAGGAATTCGTCTTGGCGGAAAACCCCAGCTCATTTAGACCCAAGGCAGCATGACTGCACAAAA